GAACAGGGAGTTCTCAGGACACAACCCAGGACCTCCCCAGGTGGCTTCTGCACTGTGAGAACTGCACGACAGCTGCACCATCACAGCTGGCTACTACCACTCCTTGTACTCAACCCTAATATCAGGCACTAGAATGAACCAAATGTTTAATAGCATAAACAAATGTGCCATCACCTTAGGTACTAACTTCGTTTTACAGTACTTGTCTTACGTTTGTTTTTTTCCAAAACAGTAACAAAAATTATTCATACTTAAAAAAGAAGGGTTGTGGGAGATCAGCAGATGGGGTAATGGTTATGTCACTGGACTTCCATGAAGGTGGCCATGGCTCAAGTCCTGAACCCATTGACTTAAAAATTCAGGCTGGGCGCATGTGCATGCATTCCCAAGATCCCAGAGAATGGGGGAGAAGGGATTGTGGTGTGGCCATCCCCCCAGGGGGTGATTTCTCACTTTCTGTCTCTCTGTTTCTCTCTGTCTCTCTGTTTCTATCTCTCTGGCAAGCACATGTGCACTATAGCAAAAATCTCTCTTAAAAAAAAGGATGATTGTGGATAAAGATCGTATAGGTCTGGTTTAACATTTTAAAAGTGCCTCCCTTTTATAATAGCATATGACAAATGTGATTTTATGAGGGCTGCTAAAACACAAAGAAGCTTCTACACACATACATATACAGTGGCTGAGTATCAGTGGATTAAGTCTTCAGAAATTAAGCAATGTGCTGGAACTGAAGTCAAACACTCTCTTATAAATAACAACATCCAAAATAAACTAATTTTTTACTATAAAGACTGGACATGAACAATGAGAGTTTTTCACATGAACAGAAAAATAACTGAGTGATGGCATTACATTATATAACTTTCAAAAATGCTAGTTTTTGGGAACCAGCAGTTAGCATAATGGCTATGTCGCTGGACTCCCACATAGTCGACCACAGTTCGCATTCCGGACCCGGTGGCTTAAAACTCACGCCGGGCGCATGTGCGTGCGTACCCAAGATTTCAAGAGGAGAATGGAGG